ATCAGACTCTCGGTGAAAATCCGCTGTATTCATCAGTATTTACATGCAAAGTCCATCGCTTTATCACACTGAATTCCACAGAATTATGTGTATTGATCTCATTCACATCATTGGCAGGCAATAAATTTTCGGAAATACTGCAAATGGGAGGAGTGAAATAAATAAATATTTGTTAATTATTTCAAGTATTTTTTGTGGCATATCAACGAGGATTTGGGACGTGCGATGCAAAGGATGATGTTTAGGCGAGTTTCATCTGAGGCACATTCGAAGTTGAGACACTCAAGCATGTTTCTCAGTTTTCAGTTCCACAGGAGAAATCGATGAATTTCACTCGGACGATATAGTGTGACTACAGGCTCTCAGAGGTCGCTATGCACTTCGAAGAAGATGGTAAAATACAAGGGATGATATTCAGGGGGTTAGTTTTTGCATTGAAATGAAACTGATGAAATTTTTTTCATTAATTTCGGACGATTTTTGAAAAGAAAAACTCTTCCAATAAATTTGTGGTACTTAACTGAATTTCATATAGAGTCCTCCTATTTTAAAATACTTCCCTTTTGTTTTATGGTTCTATTTTAAGTGTCAAGAATCTACAGATGTTGGGATTGTCTGAAGTGTTTGTAAATCACTTCAGCCACTGTTTTGCTTGTAAATTTCTGCAACCCTTTTCTTCCTGAAAGGCGTCGCATGCAAATTTCACGGATTGATGTGGGTCATCTTACGGAATTCCATTTGGAGTTGAGCAGAAGGACATCATGTCGTGTGTGCGGCACGAAAATTGACGGCTTCTTGTCGTGTGCGTTTTCCCCAGAAGTCCATCCCCTTTCTGGCTTCTGGAGGCGCACAATCGTGGTGGAAATTGAATGACCACCGCGGGGCCAATTACGTGATTGCTGTTCCCGCGATTTTCAATTACTTTCCGTGCCACTAATTGCTGAGGCGCTCGGAGTGGGGCGAAATGTGCTTTGGCAAAATGAAAAATTATCAGTTTCTCAATCACGGTCAGTAGCTGGAGGAGAGTCAAACGATGAGTAATGCTTATGCACGAAAGTGGCCGGATCGCAGGTAATTAATTTTATTAGACAATATTGTAATATGATTTACAATGAGCTGCGCACATCTCGAAAACTCAACACTTCTTCCACTAATTGTATTCACAACATGATGCTGCTGCTCACCTTCCGCCATCGGCATCGGCATCTTGGCTGTCCGGAGAGGGGCTCGGAGTCGTCCCGAGGGGGAGGTGGAAAGGCACTCTCAGTGGTGCCCTGGCCAATTGCGGACGCCCGTCGAGGAGCGAAGACGTGGAGAGCCAAACTTTTCTCTCTACCTCCTCACAATCAACACCAACAATCTTTCGGCATTAGCATTTAAATTGAATCCACCACTGTGATTTTAATTTCCTGTTGTCTATCAAATTCTTTATTTAACACACACGTCTATTGCTCCCTTTTTTCTCCCTCACACCCCCATTCGGAGAACTCCATTTCTTGGCTCGCCATGGCGGAAATTTTCCCACTTCTTCCCACCCTCGAGCGTCAGGCGTGAAGAAAAAGAGTCACGCAAGATCCCAAGAATGGATCCAGCACTCAATAAATTACTGCCCTGAAGTGGTGAGAAACTTTCCCTCATTTCACCTGGATTTTCTCGAAACACGAAGAAAATCGCTTGCTTAAATTACATGAATTGGCATAAATTGGTTCAGACAAAGCGCTAATTGTACAGTGTTTCATTTGAATTCTGGCGACTGTACAGATGTGCACTAATTAATTTTCAAAATCATCTACTCACATATCTCATATATGAATTTAAATAGCGACACCTTAACAAGGAAATAATGAGGATCACAAGAGGGGAAAATTAGCTCAGAGATCATCAAAAGAGCAAAAGATATGACAAGATATTTTTCGTGAAATTTTTTCAATTTCTGAAGCGTGAAAAACAAGGTTTAATTTAGAAAATTACCATCTCCTTAAACGGTTTCGGATTTTCCATGTTTTACATAAAATATCTAATAAAATATTTCCCTCTGCGCTTTGCTGCTCCCTTCCAATTGATTTCTTTTAATATCCCAGCGCATTGTGTGGAATCTTGAATCAGAATTTTTACGGAGAAATGTCTAAATATACATCACATGTCAGGGCACGGTTGCTTTTGCACTCTGCACACCATTTGATTAATGATCTCAATGGCAATACACCACTGTCTTTTCCCATTCGCTCACATCAAACACTTTACCATGGGATACTTATCCTGGCTTCTCTCATGAATAGTCTTGCCCTCCTTTCGTCCTCGCCAGGATATACTCGGGGTCCCTGAGGAGTTTTCTGAAGCGCTGTGCCTCAGAAAATCAGTCGATCGTGCAATTATTCCCCGGAGAAAGGAGGGACGCCGTGGCTCGGGAGGGTGGATTTTCAGTGTGAAGGACTACACGGAGAGGATTTATGAAATCCTCCATTTTGTCGGTTGCGGTGCTGCAAGGAAGAAAAAGGCAAAGAAGAGGAGAAAGAGGACGCGGAAGGGACGAAGAAGGCACGATGGAATCCAATTTCTCAATATATTGTTGTTTCTCAATAGGGGAAACACAGACCCCGCGCGCGCTCATGACTTGAAAAGCCCTGTCAAAATTGCTGAAGAAGAATTCATTTTGCTGCCTTTGATGCCATGCTCCGTGGTCATTGAAATGCGAAGCGTGGGGGGCAGAGACTGTGAATAAATTCCCCACAATAAGAATTAATTTGGAGCTCATCAACCATGGAATATTGGATGCTGGAGCGTGTGCTTTGTGCTCTCTTGGGCACAGCCTTTTGTCCGGCTAATCCACTCTTGGAGGTGAAACTCCCTCGAGAGGCATCGGCGTGTCATGTGGAATTAGAGCTCTATCATTGGGGAAAGCGCTCGGACAGTGAGTGAGTGGCGAAAATGGCCATCATCACGAGGGGCTGGCGAGAAAAACTGTCCAGACGCCGAGATTACTCCCAAATCCATTTAATTTGAACACCCGAAGACGTCACTCTGGATTGCAGGCATTCCATCCCGATAGTCCTGAAATAATTAGGCATTACAGTTCGAGAGTCTCGACGCTCCCCTACATTGGCAACCCTCGCCCGGAGAAAAGGAGGGACTTTTCATGTGAGGAAACATGTGGGAATTGGACGACAGACTTCATACGCGAGGGGAGAAAACCTCGAGGGTTAGTCGACGAACGGCTTTAAGTTGCTCTTTCAGCGTCGTGTAGAATATTCCCTCTTTAATGTAGAGAATACTGTGATCTCTGGCCTAATGAGGCGACGATTGCATGGAGATTGTGAGGCGGGCAATTACTTGAATTACACCTTCCAGTGAAAACATTAGCACGCAATTTGCCAGAGGTCTCAATGTAAGTGAATTTATAATTCGCGGAAGTCGCGGAGTCTGCAGACGAACTGTTGCAAGAGATAAGCATTTACAAGGTTTATGATTTCAATTAAGATGTACACACATTGTGGGGAGGTAAAGAGAAAAGCAATTATCGTCTTCTCATGATCTTATGTTTATATTGCATACAAATGAACAATTTGCAATTGCTATTCACGTAATGATATGCCAAGAGACATAAATAGAATTGAATTCATCACGAAGCAATGCTGAAGTCACTGATAACATTTACGATAATAGTCGATCACTTACTTAATTCAGCATAAAGTGTGGGGTATAAAATGCCTCTTCTGTGTAATAAATTCTGGTAATTTACTGCCACTTCCAGTGCAGCAGTTGGGAAGTCTGCGCGTCGAGCACGAGTGAGTGAAACGATGTGTGGATTTCTGTATTTCAGGACCAATATTCGTCGTTCCGATTGAAAGACTTTCAAGTAACATTTTCACCCTCCTTTTCTCTCCGTTAACTCCCATTTCGTCCATTGTGGTGGGAAAAGCTCTCTTGCCGTTTTTGCATGTCTGAAGGGTTCTTCACAATGCGAAAATGCTTTTCCCAATGGGGGTGGTGGCTCTTTTTTTTCCACCCATCCGCTCTCCCTCCGAACCGCCGCAGCGCCACAGAATGGAAACAATGATGGAGGGAAAAATCAATGAAGAGACTCGCTCAATATTCCATTCCATTTTTGGGTGGTGAAGAGAAAGAAGTACAACTTCTTGCGGCCGAATGGTGAGTTGATGGAGGAGAAAAAAAAATGTTATCTGGCGCTTTCAATCATCTCACACTTGTTAATTTGAAAATAATTTACGCAAAATAAGTCAATGAGGCAATTAAATAGTTTTTGCTGATGGAAGTGAAGCCCAGTTGAGGTCCAACGAGGCGCATGGTGAATTAACGCATGGGAAATATCAATTAATCAATTTGGGAATTCATGATGTTCTCCGTTGATGGCTCAAATATATCATTTTGTACCACCTACAAAGCTGAAACAGTGAATTAGAAATCGATCATATTAAATAAGCTTCACGAATTGATAATTTTGGGATGGCGAGAGAAGCTCACATCAATTCCATTATCGTTCAATTACCTCAACACTTTTTTTGGGCGTCGCACAGTGTGCCTCTTTGGCCCAAATTCAATTGGCAATGTTTGGCCATGCTCATTGATTGATGCTTGTGTGAAAATTTGCATATTCATGCTGCATGAGCGGTGAAATTCTTTGATTTTTTTTCTCTATCTCAACTCTTCTACCTGACGACAATATTTGAGGCTTCCGTCTCGCGGCGGGGAATCTTGTATTTTCGAGGGAATCCAATATGCAAAATGCGCCGTAATTCTTGACTTTTTAAGAAGTGAGCATGAAGGGTTGAATGCTTTGTTGTTATTTGCCAAATGCGCCCTAAAGACAGTGCCTGACAATTGACCATGGCGTCGTGCTGGGAATTTCTGCATATTTGCAGAAAAGTGGGTGGAACGTGCAAGAAAGCAAAATTGCTACTTCAAGTGCCAAATCCCAAATAGGATTACCTTCACTTTGAACGCCCGAACAGACAACAAAAGACTTGGAATGTTCTTTTCATGGTTTGTCGAATACTTTTTATTTCTTCACTTGCAATCATACATACAAATCTCAATTGAAAACTCCCAACAAAGTCCACAATTTCTGTGAGAAGGAAAACCATATAATATTTTTGCGCTACTCTTGAGAGATTGAATACAGTTTTAACTCAAGATTTTTGAATTGAATTGCATTTGAAGGGAAAACATAAAGGATAGTCTCTAAAAACATTAAAAAAAAAATCAAAAATGGCACATTTCAATTGTATCATCTCCCAATGCAAATCTATAACGATTCAGGAAAGACTTCACGAGTTTACTTTAAATAGATTTTTCTCACTTTATTTAAATATAATTTACTCTATTTGTTTACTCATCAGATTCTTCATTACCTTTCATTTTTTTTACTAAAATTCTCTTCATACTATCTTTTATGTCACTTGATATTGTCAACTGGTTTTCTCTTGCTGTTACAATTTTGGTAAAATGCACAATTAACTATATGTTTTTTTTCCATTTATCTTACTAACCTCTGCTCGATGTCTCTCACCCAAAAAATCTACAATTTACATCTTATCGCTTATATCGAAACAAATTGGGGTGCGATATACATTCATTGGAATTCTTTATATGAAATTATATACTTAATTTGGTGGATATTTACATGAAATTTTCAGAGATTTACCTCCCAGTTGTTCCTTTATCAATCCAGGCGAGAGGATCTTACAAACTAATTCACTGCATTTCCGAATTGATCAATTGAACCATTTCTGTGGCTGAAAATGTTGGAGGAAGGGTGGTGGTCATCTTAAGAGTAGCAATACTGGATGTGGAATGAAGACGTTTGCCAATTGTTTGGGGGAAATTGTATGGGATGTTGCAAGGAAGGGTGGATCCAAATTTAGTCCACAGTAGAATGGTTCAAGAGGAAAAAGGCGCTAAACTAGCAGAATAACCCAGATATGTGGGCAAAGAATGAATAATTTACAGCGAAAAGAGGAAACTAAGATACTAGAGACTTTTTGTACACAACTTGCAGGGATCTGGATTCCCTGCTTATACCCTTAATGAGAATTGAGGGGAAGGTAATACGTTTATGACAGACTTAATGTTCATCTTATCTTATTACAGTGTTTACCCAACTTACAACTAAGGTCCTAAGGGTGCCCCACGAGGCTCGGGGGGCAGCAAAATCACATCGCAGTGGCCCCTCTACAGCGCCGTGAGGTCGTAGTCGCTCTTGATGTTGAGGTTGTTGGGGTTGAGGTTCTGCTGGCTCTGTTGCATGAAGGAGCCGTTGGCCGCGGACGTGGTGGGCGGGTGGGCGTGCAGGGCCGGCTGCTGGCCCATGAGACCCATGTCTGCGGCGGGGATGTACGGGGCGCTGCCCAGGGACGTGGTGACGTCACCCATGCTCTCCAAGCTCTCAGAGCGCAAGCACTGGAAGCAGATGGAAGAGTGGTTAGGGGCCAAGTTGCGGAGGGCATAGATCTTGATTTCCCGAAGTTGCACATGCGAGACTCGCCGAGAGTCTCTCAATCTATCATCTACACAGAGTGACAAACTCAGGAGCATATGAAGCGAGCGACTCGAGTGGTATGACAGGGAGTTCATGAGGACAGAGGGGGTGGATGGGCCTCACCTCATTCTGTATGGTTTGCTGCTGTTGCTGCTGCTTTTTGCTGCTGGCGCTCCTCTTCGCCTTCTTGCCGCCACCCGTCCCGTTGGCGTCGGTCTTCTTGCGCACATTCTTGGTATTTGGCAATTTATTATCCTTTTTCCACTTCATCCGCCGATTTTGAAACCATATTTTTATTTGTCGCTCCGATAGGACTAGAGTATGGGCGATCTCGATGCGTCGCCGCCGTGTCAAGTATCGATTGTAGTGGAACTCCTTCTCCAGCTCGAGAATTTGGTGGCGGGTGTAGGCGGTTCGCTGTCTCTTTGGCTCCATTCCGGGCTGATAGGAGCCGTTGGCTGTGTCGAGAGAGAGAGAAAAGAAAAAAGAGGAATCCTCCCGTTAGACTCAATTTGGCGGTTTAATTGGAAATTGGGACGAAAGTGAGAGAAATTTTCAGCCATGACGAGGCACCAATGCAATTGCATTCGATGATGGGATGCAAAGTGTGGCAATAGATCTCGTTTTTCATCCATCTCACCAGAGAGGCAGCGTTTGTAATTAACCTTGTCGATGGGTGTACAAAGCACCTCATTTTCCATCGTCGTCTCTCATCTATGCACAAGCAGAAATACCTCACGCGAAGACAACAAAGAGGGACGTGTCTCTCTCCCCTCGGATAGCATCTTGAGATGCTGTTGCAAAAATAGAAGACTTGCCAAGTCGATAAAATCAAAAGTATCAATCAATGCCCAAGACAACACTTTTCAAATGAACTCCCCATTGAAGCTTAATAATTCTCGAGGGGGGGAATTAGATTTTTCCACACGCCAGGAGTTCATTTGGCAGAGATTTATTCGCCTCTTTTATCCCTCCCTTCAAATTACAACTTCTCTCTCGAGTGTGACCTTTTTGCTATAAGATACACTCGGTGAAATTCAGCTAGATACGAGCCTCTGCCTGCTGAACAGCAGTGAGTTAGTGATTGTGCTTCTCTTTCGCTGACTGTGGTGCTTTTGATTGATTGAATGCGATGAGGCTCAGTGCGGGAGAGATGGACTCAAAAGGCGCATTTTCCATTCAAAAGTTCACTGGAAATTATATGAAACGTGTCAGTGAGAAAAAGGAGTCTTATCGGAAAAGACGAAAACTTCCCATCCAATTGTTCACAATTAATCAATTCCACCAGCACAGCAATTCTTTTGCTGGCGTTGGCTTCGAGGAAAATTATAAATTTGAAAAGTTATGCGCAAGATGAGGGTTGATTTAACTGCGAGGAAAATTGTAATGAAAACTGACAAACTGGCAGATGTCTTGTAGAATATTACAACGAGCATTTAAGACGCCCTCACTTTATTAATTACTCATTCGCGATAGGAAAGTTTTCGCGGGATGGTGAAAAATGGTGTTCAATTGCGATGGAGTTGGACAAGAGTGTGTTATTTCAATTCCACCTCTGGTGCTGGACCAGCATCTTTGCCACCCCCTCGCTAAACCCACACTTATCGGGACTTTTAATGAGTTTCTCGTGGGGATTGAATGGGTTGACGCGCGCGCGGGGAGATGGGATTTCTCCGTCCGGCGGTGAGATGGTTTGAGGATAAAAAGATGCCATGAAGGTCTGCAGAAACTTTCAAACAATGTGAGTGGCAGCACATTTATTTTCTTTCGCCCACGGCTCAGGGTTAGGACGAAAGGGGCCGCAGGCAATTTTCCCTCGCGCGCGCGGAGAAAGGGTGGAGAGTTCACGAGGGGTGGATTACTGGGTCAGCAGAAATTTTGACTGTGGCCGCGCGCACATCCACTCTCACTTTGATCCCCCCAATTAGATCTCGAATGTTACTGAAGAAGCTCATTCTTCTCCCATCTCATCGCTCCAGTGTTTTTTCACCGACCTCATCATCTCGATGTTTTCCATTGAGACGATATCATTTCAGCTGTGAATTCACAAGTAAATAAGACTGGATGAAAACCACTGAGTCATTGTGTATGAAAGGCGAAGTTGAAGGAGAAAAAAAAGACCCAACATTCATGCCGAGTGACAGAGAAAAAGAAGCAATGCCAATAGTGCTGAAAAGACTTCACAAATGGAGGAATTTTTTCCGCCGATGATGAATTTTCATGCAATCAGCGGGCAAATTACAAGTTCATTTGCATAATAGACGCGAGTCGGGTCGGTGCATGAGGCACAAAAGTGCAATTTAGGCCGTCGAATGGCGAACCCACCAGCTTTTGCAATTAAAGACAGCAAAATGCAAGTCACCTGCCTTCCTCCGCCCTTTCCCGCATGTGCCACCAACACTGGGCCCGATCAATAAGCGTTATTGATACCACCAGAAGTTTGCAAACTCTGTGTGTCAGCTTGGAAAATTAATCCCTCGGGAAATTCCTTCTCGCAACTTCTCCCCAATCAATTAGTCTCTGGGAACAATTCGAAAATCTCAATTATGCGATCTGGTTATCCTTGAGACATTCCGGGATTTCTATTTCCGCTTAGAATTTTCCCGGGCAAAAGATGAAAGATTGCGTGGCAGAAGACCACAATGGACCCTCCTCAGCGATGTTACTCCATCGGCGGATGATCTTTCGATATGAAATTAACAACACTGGAAATGTGCAACTCATGGAGCTCCGATCCTCGCGGGCTTCGTGACATCCAGTAGTTGTCTGGGCAGCATTCAAACATCCAGCCTGCAGCCATCATCTCCGATATTCGTCCATTTGATTGACTAACATTCCGCAGAATACCTCGTGCTCAAATTCGTGTGCCGGGGAGACGCGTAAATTTCAAGTTCGAGTTCATCAACAGTGATCTTTTTGTATTTGTCTGCCATGAGACACACAACAAAACCACCCAAATGAACTTGAAATGATCGAAGACGTTCAATCAGATTATTCAATGGCGCATTTTTATACCAGAAGCACTAACGAGTGGAGTCAAGTAACACAGTCACGATGCTCCAGTGGGAGGTCGCAGAGTGGCCCCATTGCCCATGGGAAAATCGATCGGGCGCTCAGGGGGTGGTGAGAAATTTCGGGAATTTGCCAGCTGAAAATTTCGGGTATATCGAAATTTTGATTCCCCCGACAGCTGTCAATTTGAATCGGACGGTGTGTCCAGCGAAGGAGACTTTTGAAGGGTTATTATTTACACGCCGAAATATCCAATATGGCCAAGAATGTAACTGTCCTTTGACACGCAAGCAGCCTTGCGAAATTCCACCCGAAAAGCTTCGCGGATGCTATGCATCTCGCGAGTGTAATTGATTTTGATTGATAATACTGGGTGTTAATCTCTCTTAAGCATCACTTTCATGGCGAAATGGGAAAAAGTCTCTCAAAAGTGCGCCGAAACGTTTTGGAGAAATTCTGTTAATAACACACGCGTCTCGCGGAGGAAATTCCCAGCTTCGTCTCTTCCAAAAAGATGAATATTGGGTGCCACGCGGGTTGAAAAGGAGCACAAGAAGTGACGATGATATTTATCGCAGAGAGAGAGCGAGATCTTTAGTGGAGAAATAAATGAGATGCCATTTATCTTGTCCCCTTCGCCGAGGACTCGAGGGGCTGGTGCGCTAATTTGTAGATAAAGAGGTGGTTTAGGAGCTCCTCTCCTTTGTCACTTGGTGTATGTTTTTCGGCTTGTTTAAAATTCAATTATTTCGAAATAAGTGTGATAGATGACTCGAGATGAAAATTGAAAATCACTCAAGTAGAAATGTGTCCCTGGGGGTGGTGTTGTGCCACCCCTACGCCGCGTGTGGGGCAAAAAGTGTGCCTTCTGGCCAAAAATTCAGTGTGGCCTCTGTGACATGATCCTGGACTTGCTTGCGGTGTGTCTGGTCAATTCTTGACTTGGCGCGTGATAAATTAATTTTAGCAAACTTAATGGTGAAAAATTGTCCCGATCAAAGATGGATTTATCATCAGCAAGCTGCGTTATGTTGAGTGTGTGCTTATGTACATTTGCGGAGGTTTCAGCATAGATTTGAGGCCACTTTATGGTCCACACGCGTGATCTTTATGGACAGTCTGGGAACGGCGAGAATGCCTCTGCGGTTACAAATTGCCTCTCATTTATCACCGTGACAGAGGAGATCACCGCAAATCAATGTGAAATAAACACCCATGGAGGGACCCTTTGTGTGGCGCTATTCTGTGCACGAAAACAACCCCCTAAAGTACCTCATTATTTCCCAATTCTAATCGTGACTGTGGAAGTCAAATTATCGATTTTCGGTAATTCATCTCTCTCCAGCCGCACAGTCTTCGAGTGTCTCCATCGGTGGTAAAAGATCTTAAAAAGTCGTTTGTTTGCTGGTAAACAGGTTATTGTTCGCCCAGTGAAGAACCCTAATTTATTATTTTATTCAACTTCTTGCGGACGAGTGAGAGTGATGGATAGGAATCCATCAACTTCACCACTCTCCAGAGTCTCTTCTTGGGTGTACAAGAGAGAGAGATGCGGTCCTGATCAATGCGGAATGAAGGCCAAAAGGGAAGCTCCACGCAAAGGTCACAATTTTCTCTCTATTCTCTTCTCAACATCTTGAGATAATGGAAGATGAAATATTCTTTTCTCCCTCGTCACTTATCTTGGGAGAAAAACACCTTTTAATTTGTTTCCCTCCGAGACACCTCACCTCAGATCACAATCAGAAACATATTAAATTTCCATGTGGACCTTTGTAGTCCGGAGGGAGCTTGAGATTTCCCATTCAGCCACTCGATGGTGCTCAAAATATTGATTTTATGGGATGTACCGAAACTACGCGCAAAAGTCAAACAACACCTCAAACCAATCGCTCCATCCAACTTCCATTTCTTCAGTCACTGCATGAGATCGGGGAATTTTAAGTAGTTGCCGACATGGAATTGTTTATGGAATTCTTGGGGTTATTCTTGTTGCGGGGGAAAAGAAGGTGGACTTCCAGAGACAATCAATTGAATTCATGAAAAAAAAATCTCATCAATGTAAATACATGCGGACAGCCTTTAGTGTCTGATGGGTAGTGAAAGCGTGATGAGTCTCAAAATATAATGGCATTGTTAGAATTCTCCAGGTGAAACTGAGAATGAGACTCATCTGCACAAAATTCCTAGGCAACAGTGCAAAGTCAGGTGTGGGGTTGGCTGATCTCTTCTGTTGGGTGTTTCTCTATTTATAAAGCTCTGCATAAATTTTAATTAATTGACTGATCAGTTGATTGAGAAAATCCGCCTGAATATCCCCCTGGATTCTTTAATCGACGCTTCTTGTGCATGCGTTTGTCCGTGACTTCCACTCAAAGTTTTGTGGCCATGAAGTGGAAGAACTACATTTATCTGTCCTCCTCGAGAAAGCCCATGTAGAGATTGTGAGATTGAAAAGTGGGAGAGGTTGAAAACTGGCCGGAGACAATGAGTGTGGTCCATTCAACTCTGACCACGCGCGATAAGGTTCTGGTAATTTCTCGCCGCGACATTTGGAATGAGTTCAGTTGATTGTTTCGGGAGTTGTCGCGTGGGTGGACACAATGAAGCTGCCTGTCTTTCTACCATGTTTCAGCTTCCAGCTCGCCACGGAGTGAAAGAATTCGAGGCCACCCACAGACCAGAGGAGGCAATTGCGGGAAAAGGGTGGAATTCCTGTGGTCATTCGTATGGGATTTGGATGTGGATTTTGCGAACTCACCGACTCCAGCAACGTGAATCTTCTTCATCCACGGATAGATGATTCTCTCGCCATCGGTTGTCGTCTCATTGGCGTCGTCCCCCGCCTCTGAATCTGAGTCTCCGAGGTCGTCCATGTCATTCCCGTGTGAGCCCATCTCGTCCGGTGATCGGTCCAGCATCAGGCGATCCTCATCGAGCAGGTCATCCTGCAGTGATTGATTGTCACTCTAATTGCCAGCCTAATGACTCTAACTGCTGACTTACGTGTTCGGAACTCGTGTCGTCACACCTCAGCCGCATTCCCAGTTCCTGAAGCTGCTGACCAGCGGGAACGGCTTCCTCGATTCGCCTCTCGAGCCTCAAACCTGCGTTCATGAGAAATGTGCAAAATCAGTCTCTCTCAGGTCGCTGTTCTCGCATTCCATCAGTGATTTGTCCACTACCAGGAATTTTCATCTCTCGCCCCACATTTTCTCACGATTCGCATCGATTTTCATCCTCAAGTCATGCATTACACATTAAATCCCTCTTCTAATCGCAGCAAATTCTGAGAACCGCAATCTTCCCGACGGAAAACCTCGATACAAATTGCAACTCTACAATTGGATGCTTTTTTTGTAATTTTCCCAAAGCACAAAAAAGCTCGTCTGGTAGGCGAATGGCAATTAATTGTATTCGATTGGCAACGTGAGATTGCGAAATTCACCATGAGATAGTGTCTTGATTAATTACGATAATTCCCCGTGACGAATTCATTATGCAAAATGGACAATTTGCACATCCTATTGAGTGTTCCGGAACGGTGGAAATTTTGTCTGTTTTTCTCATGGGAAAATTGCTGAGAGTGTGAGTAAAAAGAAAATTTGGGAACTAAATTGTATCACACAAGAAATTTCGAACATTTGGAATAAATTTGTCTGAAGCAATTGAATTTTTTTTGCAGCTGAAGTGTTTTTGATAGTCTCTTTTTGCATTGACTGCGAGTGAGTAAAGTAATTTGTATGTATCAATAAATGAATATTGTAATGATGATCGTTAAACAAAAATGATTTCAACGTATCATTTTTCAATTACTTTTATGCCTCTTATTGAGCAATTGAAATCAGTGATGCGACAATAAATTAAAACGCAATTGAAAATATATTTTCAATGTAAGGCATTTTTTCAACAAAACAACATCATAATTTCATTCATTTCAGCCATTCATATGTGAAAACTATGTATAAATGACATCACTGTGGCGCATTTGGAATTTCTGCAAGGCGGAAACATGAGATAAGCTGAATCCCCTGTCATTTTGCGAGATGAGAAAATTGCTTAGAAGAACGTCATAATCTTCTTAGAGGCTGGACCTGTTCTGGCGGCGCTTCTATCAACTCTAGGACGTGATTATAATTCATTTCGCGGGGCTTTCTCACCGAGCTCTTGCAGGCCGAGGGCCGTGTTAGTGGGCTCCGTGTTGGGGCACTGAATGGGCAGGTCCATCATCTGGTGGTGGCCGGATCCGGAGCCGTAGTAGCCTCCGTAGTAGCCGCCGCCGGTGGTCACGGGGGCCGCCGGCGAGTAGGAATTGCTCTGTGCGGTGGGCATCTGGGCCGCGGCGGCCCCGTAGCCGTGGTGGTGGTGATAGAAGTGGCCCCCGATGCCCTGGGCGTAGTTGAAATTGCTGTTCTGGTGCAGCGAATTGCTCTGGTGGTGCAGATAATCGCCGGTGTTCTGGACGGCCGGCGTCCCCATGGACGCGTAGCCATTGTGATGGTGGTGATGGTACTCCTCGTTTGGTGGGAACTTTGGCTCGATAGTGGTGCCCATGGGGCTCTGAATGTGATGTGGGTAACCCATCAGGAATGAACTCATCTTTCACTACCCACAAATGTCCATTATTTTGTCCTCCGTGGCGGGATCAGTGATCAGAAGCCACCATGCTAATGGCACAGCACATTTACATCATCCAACATGATTCTATCCACTGACACCCGCGGTAATCCCACTTCGCCACCGGAATCACTCTGAGCATTTTCCTCTATTGAACACTTTTGTCAAACTCTTCACTGCGCACACTTAATATTCCATTGGTACTCTTGCATAATCGATCGGGCGATGGAGCACTCCCGAGCACGTCCGTTTCTCACGAGATTGTCTATTGTTGTGAGGCACACAAGCATCCACGGCGGCTGCAACAAAAAGCTAAGTGGATTGTTGGTAGAGATTGTTGTTTCAATTACACAAAAATACCCATTGATTTTGGCTCCACCCCTCGCATGGTTCTGGCCGGATATCTGTAGCTCCCTCTTGCACTTGCTCAGCACTCTGAGCGGTGCCTGTGTGAGCGTTGGTGGGAAAGAGAAGAAGGCTTAAGAACGCATTGACGCCCACAACTCAACCATTCTGGGCTTCTCCAGAGTCACTCTTGATCAAAACATTCGCTCCCGAGGGATTTCGCTGCAGACAATTCGCAAGAACACTCTGAAAAATCAGGAAAAGCACTTTCAAGGAACACAAAAAATATCTTTTCGGTAATCTTGCAGAATTTCGTTCCGCGATGTTGGGAAAAATTGCAAGTGCAGTATTGCTTGAATCTGCAAAAGCTCTCTCGGCTACCTGGCGAAGTGTTTTGCGGTGGAAAAGTTTAAGCAACAGTGGTTGAAAGCTCTGGCAGTCATGGTAGATTCTCTGTATCTCACTCACTCTCCAGCAAGCCGCATCAAGCTCCGCCCATGGTGCTGCGTCTCCCTCGGATTGCCATGGGTATAAGAACAACAACATATTTTCACGTTGTCAGTTGTGCGCAGGATGAAAGAGAGCGAAAGCTCTCGTCGCCCGACAAAAAGTTCCTCTTCACACCACTCTCGAGTGGTCTTTTGGGGGTTCTTTTTGCGCACTTTGTCCATGTCTTTCACCCCCTAAAACTATTTTATTGCCCCCGCCGTGAGAGTGTAAACAGGCGAATTGATTTTTCAGCAACTTTGCACGAAATTTCACTCAATTTTGGGGTTACACCAGTATATAGAGAAAAACCTCGAGTTCAACAAGGACACAGTGGCATTATATGATTATATGGAAATGGGGTCATAAATTATCTCCTCATACAGAAATTTAATGACAATCTCATGTTAATAATTCACATGGACATGATTTCCATGTCACAGCTAATCAGCAAGACATGTTGAATGGGAGAAATTACCTTCCAAAGTGTGATTTACTGGGTTGTTATTTAATTGCTATCCCACAATTCGGCTTCTTCTGTTACGCCACGCCATCAATGGACGCACTTTTCCACGGAGGATAATTTAATTTGATTATGGCAATCATGGTTCATTCAATAACCCTCTGTGGTGACCTCGCCATTCACTTCCCGCGCCCCATCCAGGAAAAATCCAAAGCATTTGGCGGGTGGCGGGAAAAAAGCTGAAAATGATGGAGCTTTTACTGGTGGGTGTCTCCTTTATTAATGATCCCCGAACCTCGTGCCCAGTGAGAGAAGAAAAAATCTATCAATAAGGCATGAAAACAAGTCAACATTCTCCATTAATGGTCTTCAATGGGGAGAAAAAGAGTCGTGAAATTTTTCATTAATATCAACCACTGAATATATAATTAAATTACACTTTAATTACGCATTTAGTGGTGGGTGTGACCCGAAATGTCATGGACTTGCCATTTTAAATAGTCATTTATTCTAAGCACTCATTATCTCGTGTGTACAGCTTTGGCTTTTCTCACGTGGAGATTTGTTAACCCGTACTTGTCGATTTATCTCGCGCGCGCTAATTGGTGAAGGGAAGCTTTAGCGACTGTGAGGCATTTTTATTCTATTGCTAAAGACAATAATTGCTGTCAATTGTGAGCACTTTGCGACGTTTAGCGAACGGAGATTGCGGGATTTGCAAATCCCTTTGGTAAAAGCGGGGCTTTTGATTTTTTTCTTCTCCTTGGCAAACTCGGCTGAAGAGCTCATTGCACAATTTCAAAAGACATCCACGGACAAAGAGCCACAATGTAAATGGGTTAATAGAAAATCTCTCTTCACTGCAGAGATTGTCGGTGCATTTAAAATGCATTAAGAGAAGTCTATGAATGACTGTCAATTGCTGAGGAGATCTCAAGAGTGAGTCAAGGTGATAATATTGCAATTTAGTACGTCCTCTCGTGGGTTCAAGGATCATCACTGTCGCGAGAGAGGCTGCAAAAGTGCGCGACTCCCCAGAGGGTCACACCCAAAACAGACTGGCCACTTTTCCACTTGTTTTGGCCGGCGCGAAAACGGCGGCCAGAGAAGAGAAACTGATTGGATGACTTGCAGAAAGTTGTTGTGAAATAGAAAAGAATTAATAGTGTTGGAGGGCCCGAGAATAAGATCTCTCGCTTGCCGCGCACTTAGCACGTATAGGCAAAACACACCAACTATGCGGCTACCACAATGGCCTCTTATTTATGTTCATTAAGGAGCTCCACCACGTTGTGCCACCGTGGAATTGGCTACTCGGGAAGCTTTCCACCCGCGAAAGCTTCAGCACTGCAATTATCACTGACCATGACACTGTCTAATCTCTCGCCACTGTGGCAGCGTCAATAAATTACCCCGGGCGCAGATTATCGTGTAAACGAGGCGGCAATAAATTATCTAAAGCACTTTGAAGTGTTGACATTCGCACATTCAAAAGCTCACCACGATGAAAAATTGTGGACGATTCTTTCAGCTCAATTGTTAACACCATCAGACAATCCTTGCGGCGATGCGGTAGGGAGTATCATTTCATTAATTTCAGGGGGACTGTGTGATAAAAAGTGAGTTTTTTTTTATTGGAAGAAGGAACTGTTTTATTTATAGATACAAGAAAGAAGTCAATTATTGTCTTCTAGTCTTAGCAGTACATTAAACAATTGCTTGTCTGTCAATTTGCCTCATAAAAATTGCTCTGCGGAGTTTCTTTCTACTCTGAAAATCAATCAATTGAGTTTTTGATGAAGATTTCACCGTCAGAAAAAATACCAAGGGTGAATTCGGGTGAGTTTTTCATGGGAAATAAAAATGTTCTTTGATGTATTTCAATGGGCGACTGAGGGGATGGATGTTTTCGGGCCCATGATTGCCCAAGAAGGGCAAAAATCTATTTTCTCTCACTGTGATTATCAGCTGGGATGGTGAGGCCCTCCATTTCTAGTTGTGCGTCGTCCAGCATGGAATTGGGGCTCCCGCAAAGAGCGAGGATGGCTAAATGTCCCGGAGAAAACATCATCAATCAAAAGGCCACGGGCATTCTGGCTTCAGCCGGCGTTTGCTGGGGAATTCTTCCAGCCTAATACATGTGTCAATCAAAGGCCTCTCTCGTCCGAGGGCCCAGGAGGAGAAGGAATGGAAAAAAACGACAAACATGGAAAAACTTTTTGAAAAAAAAAGAATAAGAAAACACCCAATGCAAGACCCGTCTTGGGCGACATCGTGCAAATGGACCACGCATGCAGAATGCCAGAGAAATCACCTCAATTTTTGTTAATTGCTTTAACGAGGAGGCTTCTTGCACGGCAGGAAAAACACAGCTTTAATTTGACATCAATTTGACACATAATTAATTACAATTTCAGTCGCGGTCGTGCAACTTTTTCTATACATAGATCACTAATGATCGCGACCAGAGTTGGTGACACCTTGATCAGATGTGGAGATGAGTGTTTCAGATAGATCAACCGTCATGACAATAGAGAGAAATTATTGTCTATTTTTGTGTCGCGTTCTGTGATTTTTCACTGGGCATTTTGTCCATGCATTTTTCATTAATGCTTTTCTTCCGAAAGTGCATCATTTGTGCGCTCTTTTCAGCAGTATTTCCTCCAATTTCTCCAATTACGTCCCAGGAATTTGTGGCAGCGCTCAAGAGGATGCCAGAAAATACATTAATCCTCGAGGGACAAATAGTTCATTTATTAAAATTAGTTCCACTGTGACATTGAGGATCGCAACCAATTCAATGCTGCCTGATGCGATGGATGGAAAATCAAAGATGGGCATCGGAGCTGAGAAATCGCCCCAGAGATGATCCCTGGACGTTTTATTCTGAAATTAATACCACCTGACACGGTGATTGGAGGCAAGAGAAAAAGAAGTTCTCGGTGGTATGAGGCTGAATAAAAAATAAATTAAAAACGGACATGCGGTTCTCATTAATGTGGCTGTCAATGCTCTTTTTTTCCTCCCAGATTTGATGTTGATTTATACTGCTTTTTTCCTCCTTTTATGCCCATTTTTATTGTATTCATATTTTCTCTCCCCATCCAATTTTTTTCCTATCGTTTCACTTCACTTTTCTCTCTGTTCCTTGCGCGATGGCGGCTCTTGGATTTCTCTGTTCCTGCTTCTCCGGATTTGATATACACAGAAGAAATTTTTATATGGTGTGTGTATAAATTTTAGTGGCTGGGCTCTCTGGGTGGATATTAAAATAGAGACACGCATATACCACATTTCGTGACACATGATTGATGATTTCACTGATTTTCACATGAACAGAAGAACGTCATTCAAACACCTTCCAAAGTAATTAGATTTGCTTGGAGAAAATGTGTGTAATTTTTATATACGCCAAGGATTCCCTGGCGGAGGACTCCGTCGAGAGCGAGACTCCGTTTGTCGGCAACTGCCTTTCGGCTAATCCTTTGACTTCTGCTCTGGCTGAATGAGCAACGCCTCCGTTGGTCAGTTCTTTGTGACTGGCCAAACAGCTGGAGAGGCGAGAAGTGAACAATAACAAGATTATATGCAAGTAATCATGCCTCTTTTTTCTCTACCTCCAGCGAAATATCCGCCACGCGAGGAAAAATCCACCCATTGAAATCCTCCTCAAAGGCTTTCAGGGAGGATAGAGAGAAAAAAAACCCTCAGGAGATTTATCCTCGTCACATTTTGCCTGATAAAGCTGAAGAGCAGAGAGAGAGGGAAATTTAGAGGCTCTCTAATGTGATGGCGAATGTCACAGTGAATTTTCCACACCACGAAAAAGAATTCATCGGGATTTTGCAGAGGATTTCCCGGGGATTTTCCTGGAGAGATATCTCATATCTTACGCAGAAAAATCCGCCAAACCCTCACAATGATCCGCCTTTCCTCCCCCCTAAAACTTACTTATTTTGCCATTTTCACATTTTA